CCCCGCCCGCCGGCCCCGCGTGCGCCTGCCCAACCCCACTGCCCAACCCCACCGCCCAAACCCACCACCACTTCTTCCTCGCCCCTCTCCCCGCAGTCCGGCACCAGCCACAACCTGGGGACCAACTTTGCGAAGGCCTTCGAGACCCAGTTCATCGACGAGCAGCAGCAGATGCGCTACGTGCACCAGACCAGCTGGGGCGCGTCGACGCGGCTCATCGGCGGCGTCATCATGACTCATGGGGACGACAAGGGCCTCCGCCTGCCGCCCAACATCGCGCCCACGCAGGTGCGCGCCTGCGGGCCCCGCTCCCCGGCTCGTCATCCGGCTGTTTTTGGATTCAAACCGGCCCATGCTTTGATCCTGCAAAGCCAGAAGAAGACCGGCGGGGAGCTCGTTGGGTACGCCGCCTTTCACTCCCCCCTGTCTGCCACATCCGCGTTTTCAGCCTGACACGTTACCATCACGCCGCCCCACGACCACGTTTCGCACGGTGGGACACCCAACCCGCAGGTCGTGATTGTGCCGATCACCCGTAAGGACGCCGACCGCGCGTCAGTCATGGGGGCGGTGGACGGCCTGGTGGCGGCGCTCAAGGGGGCGGGCATTCGCACCAAGGTAGACTGCAGCTGCGGCCCTGGCCTGTGTTGGTGCCCTGGCGCGCCGGCCTCGGGGGTTGATTGAACGATTAAGCGACCGCCTTCACACCAGGAGGCACGGAGCAAGCGCGTTCGGGGTGTAGTGTGGGGCCGGCGGCAAAGCTGGAGCTGCCGCGGCGCACTTCCCATCTCTCTGCATACCGAAGGAAGGCGGGAAACGCGTGCTCTGGCTTTACACAGCCCACACCATCAGGCTATGTGCAAGCCCTAACCTCTGTATTACTTGCGCTGCCGCGACCCTCACCCTTCAGGTGGATGCCAACGAGCTGAAGACCCCTGGGTGGCGCTACAACTACTGGGAGCTCAAGGGGGTGAGCCTCAGGGACGGAGGCCCCGGGCTTAGGGTTTGACTGTGGGCTCGGGGGTTTGACCCTGCGCTTCGGGGTTGACCCTGGCTTTGGGTTTGACGCGGGGGTCAGGGGTTCGACCCAGGGCTTTGGGTTTAATCCTGGGCTCAGGGGTTTGCCCCTGGGTTCTTGGGCGCCCTGGGCGTCGCATTTAAAGGAGAGCAACACAGGGCACAAAGCGGAGGCCGTATGGGATGGGCCCCCTCACGCCGGTCTGGTGCCCCAAGGCTCAGAACGCGGCGCGAGCAGGGGCTGGTCCGGACCGCGCCATGCGTGCACGCAAGCACCAGGCAGCGCGCATCCAGCGCCAAGCAGCCCACAACTAGAGCCGGGCGGCGGCAGCGGGCGGGGCCCTGATCAACGCCCCTCCCTGCATGTGCGGTTTCGCGCGCTCCCAGGTGCCGGTGCGCGTGGAGGTTGGCCCGAGGGACGTGGAGCAGGGCACATGCGTCGTCGCGCGGAGGGACGTGCCCGGTGAGCCGCACTGCGCGCGCCCCTCGCCATGAGCCCCCGCGCATAGCGCCGCGCGCTGGTTACGCCGTGCTGCCCTCGGACGCGAGGCGTGGTCTCGATTGATGAGCAAACGCACTGCTCGGGCCCCTCAAACTTAATCACTGCGGCGCCCTCCCGTCGTTTCCTTCCTACTTGGTGCCCCATCCCACCTCTTTGTCATTGCATCCATCCCTCCGCCCCCGCAGGCAAGGAGGGCAAGCAGGTGGGCGTCCCGATGGCCCCCGAGGCCTTCATCCCGCACGTGCAGGGGCTGCTGGCCGAGGTGCAGGCGGCGCTGCTGGCGCAGGCGACGGCGTTCCGCGACGAGAACATCGTGGACGTGACGTCATACGACGAGCTCAAGGCCACCGTGGCCGAGGGTAGGTGGCGCGGCTGTGCGACGAGCGCAAAGCGCGGCGCAGGGTGGGCCCGGCGCGGTGCCGGCGCTGCGCGCGTTGGGCGGAGGTCGCGGCTGCGATTTGCTCTTTGGGAGCTGTGTTTCAAAACACCGCCCCCTCACCCGGCTGCGTGTCAACCGCCTGCGCCCCGGCCCCGCACCCTCACCACCCTGCGGCAGGCAAATGGGCGCGCGGCGGCTGGGCGGGCAGCGACGACCAGGAGAAGCAGATCAAGGAGGAGACGCAGGCCACACTGCGGTGCTTCCCCTTCGACCAGCCGGCGGGCCCCCACACCTGCTTCATGACGGGGCAGCCCGCGGCCGAGGTGGCGCTGTTCGCCAAGTCTTACTGAGGCAGGGCGTCTCGAAGCTCCATTTATTCTTTCGATCGACGGCTTGCTTGCAGCGGTCTGATGTTATATGTGTGGTGTTGAGTATGGTGCAAAGCCTTGCATTCTTGAGGGCACAGCTGAAGCCTGGATTTTGGGAGCCATGAGCCACGTGCTTGGATGGGATGAAACAGCCATGCATCCGATTATGGCGCTGGTGGTGTCAATGGCTTCGCCTGGGTCCACAAACTCCCTCACTCGGCTCGTGTTATGCACTGAGCTGTGTGTACGCGAGTATCTGACGCAACCACACCAGCATGCTACGTCAGGCTGAGCATGGCATACATGTGATGTGATGGGCAAAGCGTGAGGGTGGCTAGGGGGCTGCCAGTGAAACCGCTACAGCCGCTGATGTGGATTCATCGGAGGACTGCTCAACGGCTGCTCAGGAGCCTGTGCTGCCATTGACAAAATTGTAAGTCGCTTGACTCCCGCCTGGATACCTGCAGCAAAGGCCGGGAGGCCGCCTGTGAGAAGGTCCCCTGGTGGCAAACAATCCGAAGGAAGCCATGGCACTGCCAGCAAAGCACTCACTAGCGGCCACTTCCTGGCCAAGAATGGAAGAATATTTCAACATAGACATAAAATATGAGATTGGCGGCCCCACGACCCACAACACACCCAGGAATTCGAAGAAGGCGTGCCGCGCGCCAAAAATGGAGCTTCCCCAAAGTTTGTCTTCCGATGCGGCCCCGTCGCCTCTTCATTGAAAACGTTTTTTCGATTGGAAAAGATCGCTTTGCCAGGCCCCCAGCGCCCTCTACACAACTCGATCCAGCCATCGCTCGCTCTGCGCTGTCTCTCGCACACGCTCCGATCCTCTTTTTGGCTCTAGCACGGCCATTGAAGCGCACTTACACACTCAAACACACTCATGGCAGCCCATCACTCCACCTTCGCGGCCCTGAGCTGCGTGCCGCTTGACACCATGGCGGACTCCTTCCTGCATGGCGCCCACAGCCCGCAAACGAGTCATTCTGACGATCAGTCCACGCCCCGGACATGGTCTCGCGCCGTCAGCAGCACCGAGCTTGAGCAGCCCGATGTCATCGATGTCCGGTGAGTTCGCTGGCGCGCTGTCCCGCTCCCGCTGCCCACGCGAGCTGCAGTCGCTCACTCCGGCAAGCAGACCTTCGAGGCGCGCATGGTTGCTGGGGGCATTGATCGCAGGCTACCCTGACCCTGACACGTCGCAGCGGGGCTGAGGCCACGGCGATATCCACTTGAGTCATTCTCACACACGTACCCGCGCAGCCGTGTTCCGCGCGCGCCCGCCAAGCGCCCTACTCAGTCATTGGTGTGCGCAATGCTGACGCCTCCACCCTGCCACACACCTCACCCCCATTCAAACGCAGGGGCTCCCGCGACCAGGGCCGTCGCAAGGCCCGCTTCAGCGCAACCCAGATCCCCGATGTCATGCCCGTCGACCGCTGGGAATGAACGAGGCCGCGCGGCGCTGCTACCTCCGGTCGTGCTCTGCCGTCCTGTTGCGCTAGCCCGGCCCGCCCCACCAAGGCGGGTCGGCGCCTGGGGGCGACGCCTGTGAGGACGGCACGTGCCAGCCTTATCATTTCTTCTAGCAGTCCTGGGTTGTGGCATGGCCTGCGTATTTCCACCCAGCCAAGAGCGATGACAGCGCCGCACAGCTGGTGCATAGAACTGTACATTTGGGACCCTAGCCCGGCCCTGCATTTGCCTCTGTCCCTTTCCTGGTATGATGCACGCACCGTCAGGTTGGCTCTGCAACGCATTTTCAGGAATCATGGCCAGCGCTCGCCCCACGCCGGCGCCGTGCTGCCCCCAGCTACCGCTCACGTCGACATGACCCGACCCGCTTTGCATGCGCCCATCTCTGCGGGTGTGGCAGCGCACGGCGCCCTCGCCGCCGTCTTCCATAACCCATAGCTGCTGCGCGGCCACGCGCCGCCCTCGCTTGCTCTGACGCACGCCAGTTTCCCCTTTTGTCAATGGGCGTTTGACGGCTGGCGACCAGTGCGCGAGTGTCTCCGCCCGCCACAGCATGGGCTCCCATCGCGGTGACCCGGTCTTAACAAACAAAGCAAGCAGCTTGCGCATGACCGCGCCCTGCAAGAACGGGCCGCGTTGGCACCCCTGCTTCCCGTGTTCTCAACCGTTATGTGCGCTGCAGCAACGCCGCGCAGCCATTGTGTTTCCAGCTGCGGCGCAAATGGGGGTTTGCGCCCCCCGACCCCTGTGGTCTCATAGCCAGCACCGGCTGCTCGCTCACTAAACCGTGTAAGCAAAGTCCTGTCCGCCGCAATGCCTGCCAATCTGGATCGAACGGGCTGCAAGAAGCGGGGGTTGTTACCGTCCTACACATTCAGAAGCTCCTGCAGCAGCTCCACGTCCTCCGTCTGCGGCTGCGGCCCCGCCGGCGCCGCCCCCTCGCCCGCGCCTGCGCCGCCGCCGCCGCCCGTCCCCTTGACCTTCTCCAGCACCCGCCTCGACCGCTCCAGCACGTCCGCCGGCACGGTCGCGATCAGCGCGGCCAGCGCCTCGACGGACTCCTGCAGCTTGGCCTCCGCGTCGGCCTCGTCGGGCCGCTCGTCCGCCTTGACCGCGCGGTACAGCACCAGGTCAAACGCCTCTAGCTTCCGGAAGAAGCCGTTGACCAGGCCGGACGCGTCCTTCGCGCCGGCCTGCTGCGCGTACTCGCCGACCGCGCGCACGTTGTCGCGGACGCCGGAGAAGGCGCCGGAGCGCAGCGACTCGCGCGCGCCGGCGGCGTCGTCGGCTGCGGGTGGGCGCAGGCAGCAGTTTGAGGAAGAGGAGGGGGGCCCGAGGCGGTGGGTCGGGCGGCCGTCTTGCATGCAAGGCAAGGCAGCTGTGTCAGCCCGGTTTTGCGCAGGCGTAACGCAATGTTGCGCCCCTTGCAGTGGGGACGTCAGTGGTTGCGGCGGACTCTTATTGCGCACCGACTGTGCCCTTCAGCGCAAGCAGCTGCTCCTGCGCTTCCAGCACCAGCGGTACGTACGTGTCCAGGGGGTCTAGCTGCTTCTTTTTTATGTACCGACCCAGGCCAGACGCCTGCAGAGGGTACAGGGAACGAGAGCCGAAAGGGGAATCAGGCAGGCTCAACAGCCATCAACCACTTTGGAGGACTGCAGGTGGTCCCCTCACTGCACCCAAACTGGTGTTGATATACGCCCGCTGCTGCAGCTGGCTCCTTGGAAATAAGCAGCCGTTGTTGGTTGGGCCGGTGCCGCTCACAGCCTGGGCGGGCGTTGCTGCTGCTGCCTGAAGAGTGGCGATGCCGGCTGCGGTGCCAACCAGGAGGCTTCGCCGCGACAGGTGTGCCAAAGATTCCTGCAGTCAGCCAAGTCAAGTTTGTTGGATAGCATGCATATGGCCATGTGGAAGTGTCTCCACTGAGCACATTACATTTGCCGTGTTGATGCATGCGGCCGGGCTTGCACGCACACACCACACCTGCGCGCCCTGCCCTCCGTGGCCGCCCTCCGGCAGAGCAGATGCCCTCACTGACAGGCGCCTGGCCACGGTCACAGCTGAACTGTGACACCGCATGGATGACGAGCATGCGGGCAGGCGTGCAGCCTGCATGGTGCCCGCTTTCGTTCTCGAGGACTGCTGTCACGGACGATTACTTGATAAGTGGATGCGGAGAAGCGGAGGAAGTCACATTTGAGATTTAGAAACGAAGTGCACAATCGGATCTCATGCCAGGTGACTGCCTTCACAGGCCGCTGTTGCGCCCCCGCCTCCTCACCGTCCCCTCCCGACATCAGGCCTCTGTGTGCCCTGCCCCATGAACCGCGTGCAATGCAATGCAAACACATGTCTACTTGTTCAGCATGATCTGTAATTCGCTGTCGGTGGCATTATAAACTTTTTTGGCTGCAAGCCCTGGGGCTCCGCCAATGCACCCCTGCTGTGCTCTTGCTGAGGCGACCGTGATGTGAGCGCGTGCGGTGACATTGGCAATGGGATGCAAGTCATATACAGGTTTCCTGGCCGACCCCCGTGCATCAGCGTGCAAGCTACACATTTGACCCAAATGCGTTTTTACATAGGAGGTGGTCGGTTGCATGATCAGCCTGGCGCAGCGCCTGCCGTGCACGATCCATGGACCGTGCACACAAAGCACATGTGCATGGCAGGCATGGCCAGGCGTAACGTCATGTGGTGAATTTTGGTCAACGTCAGGTCAAAGTCAATGCGGCCCCGCATGCGGCAGGGACCATGCGTCACCCACACATGGAAAGTGGTAGAACTTGTACATGCCGCGTCAACGCGCTGGGTCGTTCTTGTGTGTGGATACACCTCCGCAGCACAAACCATCACGCAGAAGAGGCACACGGATTGGGGACTAGCGCAGAGAGCGATGCACGTGCACAAGCCTCTGGCACTGGCCCCTGTTGGCGTACCCTTGCCCCCCATACACCATATGAACGTCAGGCGTAAACCTTTGCTGTTGCGTGCAACCGGCCACCGCAAGAATGCACAGGGCAGCCGGCGGCCCGCGCTTCATTTCCCTCCTGGACTCTTGAGCACGCACATCACCGCAAGCTTCAGAAGTCCATGTCCTGAACAGTGCCCAGGACCTGCGGCGCCGCCCTGGGTGCGGGCGCCGTCGCCGCCGTCGGCTTGGCGGCGGCCTTGGCACTGCCGAAGAACTCGCTCATCCTGGCCTGGCGCGCGCCCCAGGCCTTTGAGGCGACCGCGGTGGTGGCGCTGTCGATGCGCTCCTTCATGGGGCTGGGCTTGACGGGCGACGCCTGCATGGCAAACGGCTTGGCGGGGGACGGCGGCATCGCCTTGCGGTCCAGGCCGGCGAAGGGCACCAGCGGCGGCGGCGGCGGGGGCATGTTGGCGCTGGCGGCGGCGTTGGGGCCGCCAAGGCCGTAGCCGTCGCCGATGCGAGGACCAGCGGTGTTGTCGAACACGGGCGCCGACTTGGGGGTGGGCGCAATGCTGCAACATCGGAGAATGGGTTGTGGGGAGGGCGGCGTGGGTTGCACGGGCGACGGCACATGGGGTGCAGATTGCCCATGCGAGCAGCGCACAGCCTGCCCCTTGCCGCTCAGCCGCCAAAAAGTACATGGCTTACCCAGTCGGCCTGCATGCCTGCCGGTTGTGCCCAAGGCTCGCCCACGCACCTCAGCATGCCGTCAGTGTCGCAAATGACCCTGTGCGTCTTGCTGCCGGGCAGGGCCAGCAGGTCGTTGCTGTCGCGCTGGGCGTACTCTGCGTCCTGCAGACACAAGCGCGTGGCATATCCGATAAGTTTCCAGCGCTGCTGGACATGCTGGGACGCGCTCCCATGCCGTTGTTGAGCAACAGCAGGGGACAGGCACATGCGCTCACCTGGACCTCCACGCACACGAGCTCGCCATTGGACTTCCTGAAAAGCACCAAGCAGCGATCTGGCAGCTCCTGCGGTGAGCAGCGCAGTGGGGCGAGAGCTGTCGATTCAGAGGGCCTTGCTGCCGCGGACGCGGGAATCACCCTCCGCGGCCCGGAGCTGACCTTGACAATTCTGCCTGATGATGCCAGGTCAGACACAGAGCCCAGCTTGACGAAGAGAGACGCCATAGGGAACAGGAACAGGCTTGCCAGATCGATGAGTGGAGGGACGAAGGGGAACTGAGCGCGTCTAATGTATGTGTTGCTCGACGATTGGTTCACGGTATGCGGACACACTGGTTGGCTGCGAGCGTGGCGTTTCAGGAGGGGCGTCTGCAATTTCGGGGTTGCAGCGGAGTCTGTTGGGTGCTGATCGCTGGAGTTGATGCGGATGAATGTATCGGTGCTGCACAATCAGCGCTGATCCTTGTCGTGTGCAGAATAGAGGATACAGTACAAGTAATACCGGTAGTGCGATCTGGGTGGGAACGCTTTGTGCAGCGTATGTAATGGCAGCAAGAATTTTCTGTCATTTCAGCATCCGTCAGTGCACAGGGGCAGCCCCGCGAGCGACGAGCGGCAGCGGGTGAAGGCGACGTGGATGGCACTTGTCCCACCCGCAGGCGCCCTGCTCGCGAGGCGCCTCTCCCTGCGAGCCACTGTGTGCATACTAATCCACAGCTATGTTTACTAGGGTGGATTCTGTCGGACAATTTATTGCATGAAGTCTTGGAGTGCGGCAGCCGAGATTGATCAAGCCAGCCATGCGATACCACCTCAACACGGCAGCGGCCGCAGGCGCAGCAGCGGCGCTCCCCGAATGCGGCGCACGCCTGAACGCGGCCCTGGCGGACGTCAAGGCGGCGGTTGTTGCTGCCGCACCGGCCATCTCTGGCTCGACCGTGTACACGGGCGCCGCCGGCGTCGCGTACGCCCTCGCACGCGCATCCCGCACGGACACCTCGCTGCTGCCGCTGGCCGCGCATCAGGCGGCCGCGGCGGCGGCGCGGCCGGGCCTGCGGCGCCGTGTTCCCGACAGCGTGATGGACGGCCAAGCGGGCGTGGCGCTCGTGCAGGCGGTGCTCTGTGGGTGCGCCCTCGGCAGCATTGCGAAGGGCCTCCACACCCGCAATGATTCCGCGCCAGCCGTCCGGGCCTTTGCCGCGTCGTAGCAACGGCCGCAAGAACCTTCGCCACCCTCCCCGCGCTCACGCCGGCCGCCCCCCGTTCCGCCGCCGCCGCCCCGTGTGCAACAGCGCCGCTCAAGGCTTTGACCCTTGGGACCTGCGGGAAGCGCCCCTGGCTCGCTTCGCGGCCTGCTGCGGGCGCGCGGCATCGCCAGATCTGTCGGTGTCGGACGAGGTCCTGTACGGCCGCAGCGGTGCGCTTCAGCATCCAAACTTTTCGTTCGTTTGCTTCGGGTCGCCAGTGCCGAGCGAGCCGGGCCTACCCCAGGCCGGCTCGCAGCTGGGGCGGCTGCTGTGCACTGATCCGTGACCTGCAGCAGCTAGTTTCTGCTTGTTTGGTACCACCTCGCTCTCCCAAATACACGCTCACAGAAACAAACGCTCACACACACACATGTGTATGTGTATGTGCACGCACATAATACATGCTCGGACACATGCTCAGATACATGATATCGCACTGGGTGGCCCTTTGTGCTGTTGTTGTGCGCAGGCACACTGCTGGGCGCGCTCATGCTCAACCAGCAGCTTGGCAGAAAAGTGGTGGCGGACGACCACTTGACAGCCATATGCGCCGCCATCCTACACTCAGGTGCGGCGGGCGCCCCGCAGCGCCTCCCAGCATGCACCCAACAGGAGTCGCTGCAGCAGCGGCTTGCCTCACCCGGCCCGGCAGTCGCCTGTGCTTGCTGCTTTGCCCTATGATTCCAGCGATGACGCTGGCGGCAGGGCAGTAGCAAGCGGCACAGTACAAGCCTGAGGCCAGCAACAAAGGCCGCATTCATTTCAATGTGCGGCGCGCAGGCCGCGCCCTCAGCGCCTCGCTGGACCTTGGGGCCAGGCGGGGGCCGCCGCTATTTTACACTTGGCCGGAGCCCCGGGGGCGGGGGGACCCCTATCTGGGGGCTGCCGGCTCACGGCCTCGTGGGCATCGTGCACGCGCTGCTGCACTGCTGGTGCGCGCGCGCGCTGCACCGCAGACCGTCTGCCATGACCTCACCCAGAGGGCAACACAACGAAATAGCTTGGGTTGAAGCAGCCACGGCCGCTCTCTCCGCCACACCGCTCTCCCCTGAGCTTTGCTCTGCAGGCGGAGTTTCAGAAGAGGAGCCTGGCGGGAATTTCAGTCTCTCGTTCAGCTTGCAGTCAAGCAGCTACTCACAGGGGCGACTGGGCCTGCGCGCTTTGGCCAATCCTTTTCCCTGCAGGGAGCTCCTGCCCCCCATTGACGGTGCAGCCCAGGGGGATGTCCTGGCCACTCTGGATTACATACTAGGCCTGGAGGCCAGCCTGCCGGGCCGCCCAACCGCCGGTGGCCACTGGCCGGTGATGTGCGCCCTGGGCAGCGCCGAGGTGGGTCTGGGGCAGCGAGCATGCGCAAAAGTGTGAAGCCACGCGAACACACGCCTGCATGCTGCCCAACTGTCTGCACATGTGTTTCTGAGGGTTTGGAGAGTGCTTCGACCCTGCTCATCAGATTCCTGCATGGGCATCGCCGTCCCGTCACTACCGCAGGTGGATGACACCCCCCTTGGTGCGCCCTCGGCTCTCAGGCGCTTTTTCCCGGAAGTGGAAGCGCCCTCTCACCTCAGGACGGGCGTGCGCCTTGCGAGCGGCTTGCAGATCGGGCGCTTGTCTTCCTCGTCGGCACTCTTGCTTCAGGCCGGAGGCTGACGCGCGCCATCCTCGTCCACGCGCCCGCAGTCCACTGGTGCCATAGTTCGCCAGGAGTAGCCATGATGGCCGCCAAGGCCTTCCAGGTGGGCAGCCCCCGCCCCAAAGCCAGGCGCTGGCGCGCCTGGTTCAGGCGCCGTCATGCCTTGCTGAGGGGCCGGGCAGTTCGGCTGCGGCCCAACCCCTCACCCGATGCCGCAGCCTGCCGTGAGCACTCACGGTGGTGCTCAAGGCAAAGGCGATCAGTCCGCACGCCCCGCGGTCGTCTCGCCCAACCTGCAGGTGACGGGCTCGCGTAGGTACCTGGCGGCTGCCGTTTCGGCCGGGGAGCTCGTGTGGAAGCGCGGCCTGCTGACCAAAGGTGGGAGCATGCCGCAGCTGTGGCGCAGCTTCATGTTTGCCCCTGGAGCCCTGTGGGCGGGGCTGCTGTTGCAGTCCTGGTGTTGAAATGCAGGGGGCTTCCATTTGAGCAAGCACGCAATTGTGGTGATTGCCGAGCGCAACGTTTCCCTTGCTGCCCGCTTGTGCCGGCACGCAGGGCCGGGCCTTCGCCACGGAGTCAGCGGTGAGTGGTGAGGCAGGGTGTTTGCTGCTGGGCGCAAGGGCCGCTTGTACCCTGCGCCTCACCCATGTCAACCACCACAGGCTTGTGCGGTATGGACCGGCTAGCTAAGCAGGCCAGATGATTACACACTGACCTGGCACTCACGCCATTGATGCAGGCAATGCGTATGCTCTGCTGGCGGTTTGGCGCGCAACCGGGGACACAGTCTGGCGCCGCCGCGCTGAGCGGTTCGCCGTTTTCTTGGCAGAGCCCGGCGGGGGGCGCGGGGACTGGCGGGCGCCGGACCATCCCTTCTCCTTGTTTGAGGGCCTGGCAGGGGCCTTGTGCCTGCTGTCAGATCTGGTGGCCGACCATCAGGGCGCGAGGTTCCCTTTCTTTGAAGTGTGATGCATGGTGATGTTGTGGTGCATGTTGCTGCGGGTGGTCTGTTGGCGCACCCATCGGTTGACCAGCCGCATGAGCACAGTGCGATCGGCTGTTGGGAACGCTCTGCTTTGCGTGCGTTGGCGTGCGACCTTGCTGCCGTCATAGGGTTGGCGGTTGGTGATTGACCTGCGACACAGCCCTGTGGGGGCCTGGCTTCGCACTCGTACCGCGTCTGTGTAATAAGCCCATCCCTGCTTAGAGGTTGTCTACTTGTGCGCGCGAGGGAACGCTTGTGGCAGGTTGTCGCATCGAGACGGGAGTACAGCGCCGGACCACGGGCTTGCGCTACCATGCATGTTGGACAACACACACACGCATTCACCGAGCACAGCTGCTGCCATTGACGGGGTCCCGCGACGGCACCAGGCGGGCCCGCCACGTCTGGCCGAGGTCACGCGCCCTTGACAGGCGACTCGCCAGGGCCATCGCCGCGCGTAGCTATGACTGATCGTCGTGAAGTTCATGTGCACAGTCTACATCCCGGCCATTTTCAATCTATCTCAAGTCCTCTAAAGGTTGGGCCATGTCGGAAACCCAATAACCCACGCACGTCCCACTCAGTGGCCCACACACTGGTACTCACTAGTGTGTCAGAGGCACTACAGAGAGGTCTATAGAGTCACACCTGCGAATTTACAAGTCGGATCGCCGCGGATTAAATTTTATATCATTTAATTGTGCACACGTACTCACCTGGCCCCGCCCAACGGCTTCCCGCCCATTTGTTTGTGGGGGGTTTAGGGTTTAGGGTTTAAGGGTTTAGGGTTTAAACCCTAAACCCTAAACCCTAAACCCCCCCTTGGGAAGATGGCCACGCTGCTGAGCCTTTTCGCCGTTTTGACTGCGCTGGTAGCTGTTGCGAAAGGTCAAGGGAGCTTTTGCGTCGTACCAGCGAAGCTGCAGACGGCCAGCACTGCCAATGTCGGCGGGCGGATCACCGCTCCTGTGGCTGCCACTGTGCGGCCCAACTCCGCAGCCACTTTCATGGGCAACATAGGAATAGTCTTCCCACAGTGTAGGTTCTCTCATTACCACCTGCGCCTGGCAGCCCGCAGGCCTGATCGTTCCGGAGCGGCCCAATTTTTGAACATCCGCCGGGCCGTCAGCAGTGCTGCTGACAATTTGCCCCCATGCGGGCCCTGCCAACAACACTGCTGTCCTCATCTTCCCGCCGCCGATCCTCTGATCCAGAACACCACCCTCGCATTCCCCGTGTGCGCGCCTGCAGCCACCTGCCCCACCCCTGCCGACCTGCCCGCGGCGCTGCTCAAGGCGTTCCTGTCGACCCCCAAGGGCTGGCCGGGCATCAGCGTGAGCCCTGCCAGCGCCACCGTGTCTATCGGAAGCACAAAGGTCGCCACCGTCTCCCTAACCGGCCTGAAGGTGGGACGCCGCCGCCACCTTCGGGCCGCGGTCCCGTCTGTTAACACACCGCCCGCTGTGAGGCCCATAGTTAATTGTGCAGCAGCGCCCACATCACGCGCTGCCGACTGCGTGCGACGGGCTCAGCTTGGGGGCCAGGTGCCCGCCGATGGCATTCGTTCCAGCAAGCTCAACTTCCCCATCCGTGCGCAAAAGTCAAGCAATCCACCCACACCCGCCAGAACTCACACCCGCCCCATCCATCCTGTTCCCTCTGCCCTCCTGGCCAATCGACATACCCCAAGGGCACCGTCCAGTCCAAGCCCGGCATGGCCGCCGCGAAGGTCAAGGCCATCGCCGGCGTGGTGACGACAAGGAGCGCCCTGGCCAACCTCAGCCCCTTCAACCTGGCTGGCCAGGCGCTGGCTATCGCCGGCAGCGGCTGCACGCTGAGGGCCATCAACAAGAACACGCAGCTCGCATTCTCTTGCCCCAACATACAGGTGTGTGGGTGGGTGTGTGCACACGCGCACATGCCCGTGTACAGGCATGTGTTTGAGATTGTGCACAATTGCGTTTGATCCAGTTTGTACCGTATGCCTGTGCGCAGGCGGCATTCCAATTTGCAATTGAGCTTGCTTGGTGGGGCTTGCGTGCGCATTCATCGGCTACCAAACAAGCACAGGGCATAACTTGTGTTGCAGGGAGGAGAAGCCGCTGATGTAGAAATTGTGGCGCACAATCCATCCACTTCGCCTGATTTTGCGCTCCCCTCTATTGCAGGTTCAAAACCGCTTTGAGCTGAATAATGGCGCCGGCGATCTCCAGATCAAGGGCGCAATTTCAGCTGTTGGTGATCTGCTTAATGGGAAGCTGGTTCCCGCAATCAACATACCCATTCCTGTTTGATCATTGCTGAACCATCCACGAATGCAAGAGGTCGGAGCTCAGGCCGAGCCGTTGCCTGAGTTGCAAGGCGTTAGTTATTATGTTGGTGCAGCCGGCCAGCCGCAGATGCACTGGCAGACTTGCACGTGTGTGTCCTTGGAGCCAGGCCTGCGCCTTCACAGCTGTACAGTCGCAGCGAAGAACTCCATATTCGTTTGTGCCCACCGATTGTGAGCGCACAACGGCCTCCATCAACTCACAGCATCTGCCTACCAGCCTCGATTGCTAGCTGCAGCCAGCCTGATGGCACGGCCAGGCCGCGCTCGTTTGCGTGCGCTGGTACGATCGACCCCGGGCTACGTGTCTCAGACAAGCAGGATGAGGAGGCGATACACTTGGGTCACTTGACCCTTGCTTTGAGGGCTTGCGGAGCGGTGTCAAATGCGCCAAAACTGCCCAGCAGATATACATACGGATGGCCATAACTGGCCGGCAAGCACCCTTGCCAGCAGAGTAATAACATTTCTGTCATTTCTGGCACGGCACTCAGTGGTTGGTCTGTGGTGCGCTCAGCGTGATGAGGCTTTGGTCTGGAAAGGTGGAGTGGCGAGGGGCCGTCCTGCTGTTGCCATGTTTGGTTGACCAACGTCCTTTGCCGCTGCACTCGGGATGCCCCAGCACTCACTCCTGCTCGCCCTGCCTGCTGGACGCGAGGGGTGGCCCCCAACTGCTTCCAGCAATCCCCCCTCCCTCGACCACCTGTGGCAAAGCCCGTACAAGAGTGGGGGAGGGTGCGACAGGCCAACACTGTCACCAAATGGGGGCCGTGACGCGCTGGTCGCGCTATACCTAATCAATCGGTTCTGATGGCTGGGTCCCCAAACGAGTGTCTACCAAGCCCCGAAGGATTTGAACACACGGCTGCCGCGGCCCGTCCTGCATAGGCAGTATATGGCCCTGATGCTGTACAGGCCGGAAGATTCAGGCTGGAGAGCCCCACGGCTGGTTTAACCTGGCGCTCAAAAAAATAATGCAGAATCATATTACAGAGCTGGTTGGGCCAAAATGCAGCGCTTCGCGCATTCACTACTGCTCAATGCATCATGACTAAACACACAACGTGATCGACACGGCAGTTCAAGTGGGCTCACGCATGTGTGGACGCACAGGTTAAAGCAATCAGCTGCCCAACAGCAACAGCGACGCTCTTCAGCTCACTACAATAAGCAAGAGGCCCCGGTCAGGGTGCAAGCTGACAATGCATGCGTTTAGCCTTGGGGCTGTTGTGTCACAAGCGCATTTCCGCTGCTCAAAGGCACGGGTGCACTGCAGTGCGTGTGCAGCGGGGTGGAAGCCGTCCAAAAGGTGCGCGGAACAATGTTGCCGACGCGCGGCGAAGCCTGAGATTGTCACTGTTCAAGTGGATTATTTTTCGACAAGAGGGTTATTGCGGCAGTTATGGTGGACAGCACGTGATGGCTAATCGGCCTATGTATGGCAGGGCAGAGGGCCTGTCACACGCAACGCATCTGTTGCGCACGCCAGGCGGGCGACGCAGGATCGCTTTGACTTGAAGCACTTGCGGAGTGCTGTGCGATTGGCGGTGTCACCGCGCCGCAGTTGCCCCTGCTGCTACGATGCACGCAAGTTCATCGTTTGGTGTCATGATCGGCATGGCACTTTGGGCGACGACGCCTAAGGTGCCTGGCAGTAAAGGGTTCCCGAGTGGCAAACGCCACGTACTCCTGTCATGCCTGAGACGGCCTCCCGCTGCAAGAACCCCTCCACACCAGCCTCAAGAGGGCTGGTGTGCACATGTTGGGGAAAGTGCATGGATGCAAGGAGCGCGCGCTCCAAAGGCAAAGGCACGAAATCCTCAAGCAGCAATCCCAGGGCAAGACGCAGGGAGGGCGCAAGCGCCACACGCGGCAGCAGTGTGCCTCGACGGCAGCAAAGCGACTGCACCCACTAAACATGCCGCCACGCAGAATGGCGCAGCGGCTCGGTCGATGATCTGGGGATGTCAGGCCCAGACCCAACCTTTTGAGGACATCGACCAACAAGAACGGCTCCAGGGGCCATCGAGCCAGCCGCCGCGTGCACGGCGCCCAGACATGGCACGGGTGCAGCGATGCGTCCGGTGCAGTGCGTTTAGAAAATGGCCACGCCATGAACAGTGTTGCCGCGCCCAAGGCAGCCCCGTCTTTGGCTTTGGCCCACATGTGGCCAGTGTCCACACCCAGCCGGGCCTGCAGTGGTGCATGGGCCCAGGCAGACCACCCCATTGCAGTGCTTTGATGCCGTTGATGTACAGGACAGATCTGCTGTGAAGTAAACCCGCCCCGCGGGCCCACCAAACAGTGGCACCCAGTGTCACCGGCACCTGCCGCGGTGCGGCAGGACAGTGCAGCATCAAGGTCGCCGCGGGCTTCAGGCCCGTGCGCCCCAGTGAGCAGCATTCTGCAACATTTCGACCGGGACACAAGGTGTTGTTTTGGATTGAACAGACGGCCGCCTCGGACCGCGGCTCGAGCGGGTCGAGGTGGGCTCTGACGCCACGCCGGCGGCGGGCAGTCGCACCAAGGCAGTGATAGATGCAACACAAATGTTTGGTCGGTGCCGAGCCTCCTCGGGCTCGATGCAGGCAGAGGTGGGCGCCACTGGGAAGGGGTGCCACGTGCGCTATGCGAGAGGCAAGCAGGGTCCCTGTGTAAGAAGCACATTGGACTGGGGGGCTTGCAAGCCCCACGGCTCCGCACATGGCTCACAGCCTTGCATGTTGGGCTTGATGCGCACCGGCGGCGCGCAAGCGTTGCAAAGCAGCCGGCTTGGGTTGTGATGCCGAACCACCATGCTGCCATGACCCAGCTGGGTGCTGGGACTTGTGCAAGTGGCGTGAAAAAATAGCCATGTTGAAGGAGGCAGGCCGCCCCCAGGGAAGCACGGCAGACCCGACGCAAGTGTGTTTTGTGCTTTGCTTGCTTGAGGTGGGTACGTGCTTGTGGACAAGGGCGTCCGGGCACAACCATGCAATGTGGTGTCCATCCTCGCCAAGTGCGTGCCCGCAGTATAGAAGATTCCGAGGACGGGACAGATATCAACGCACTTGCCTCGCCTGCCTCACCCATGAATCACGGCGTCACAGCGTGGAGCCCTGCTGTTGCCGATCAGTCCAAAGAAAAGATAAGATCCCCGCAGGTGTTTGTTTGATGCGAGCCCAAAAAAGTTGAGAAGGCAGTGTTCTACCCCCGGCACGGCCGACACGCCCACGCGCTGCCGTGCGCGTCGACGTGCCCGCCGGCGCTTTTGGGGGAGGGTTGACCGAATTGGTCGGTCCAGCGGTGCTCGTCGGACATCCCGAGGCTGGCCGCATGCTTGCCCCATTGGGCAGGCGTGAGGGCCACGCAGGGGGGGTGTTGCTGGTGAGGCCGCCCGGATGGGTTGCTGGTAGCGCGAGCCCATGACACACGTCCAGCACCGCCCGACTCTGCCGCACCCTCGTGCAGGCGGCCGCCAGATTGGCCAGCTTCAAGGGTCGAAGGGACGGCAGTAGGCCAGAAGACATTTGGGGATGTGGCCGGCGGCGCGCAGGGCGGCCGCGGGGCGCGCGCCGCCAACAGGGGCGGCGGACAAGCGCCAGCCTCGACGCCAACCCTGACGCCCAGGCCCTTCCGCGATTTTGGGCGGCTTATTCATGGGCAGCCTGGGAGGTTGGCTCCAGACCTCTAGAGGGCGTCTTGCATGATATGGCTGCTGACGATCCGCTGCGGCGCGCCGCGGCGCGGCGCAGGCAGGGCCTCGTTGACCCGGGGCCGCTCACGCGGCGGCGAGCGCCGCCTCGAGGCGCCGCACGACCTCTGACAGGGCAGGGCGATCCGCAGGCTCGGCGCGGCAGCAGTCCTCTGACAGGCGTGCGTACTCGGGGGGCGCGCCGGCCGGGAGCACGGGGCAGGCGCCGACCCCTTCGCTGCCCGGGGCCCTGCGCTTCATGCCTGAGAACGGGTAGGCAGCAAAAGGGATGATGGGTTGGTGCGTGCGTGACGATTCAGTGATTGCACCGCCTTCAAAACGTGTTGAATATTCTGAGCGTTGAGTTTTTCCAAAGCTGTTGCTGCGTGCTCGTTGGCGGGCCGGCACTCGCTTGCGGCACGCATTGCAAGGCCGCCCCTGCGCACCCCAGTGGGAGTTCCACTTAGATCTGGTGTAGAGCTCGACCATCATGACACCTGCGATCGGGCACGCCCGCGGAATGAGAGCGTCAGCAAATGGCATTGGGGGCAGCACTGCCGCATGGCGATCCCGTGAGCATGAGATTGGCGGGCGCTCAGGCGCAGACTTTTGACCGCTCTCGCCCACTCGAGTGCGCGCACACGCTGCGGCTCCCAGCGCCAAGCCATCCCAGTCCCGGACCTGAATCTCGCAAAGCCCGCCTGTGCTGGAAAGACGAGCAGGCGCGGCGCCCGCCGCACTCACCAAACGCGTAGACGTCGACCGCCGCTGTGATGCGCGAGCCGGGCTCAAACATCTCTGGCGCCAGGTGTGTGAGGGTGCCGCCGCAGTCGCGGTTCGTGGCGCTGCCGCCGGACAGCACCTTGGCGAGGCCGAAATCCGCCAGCTGTGTGTGCATGTTGGTGCGGAGACATGGAGTCGAGGTTGGATCAGCGTACGCAAGGTTTCCTTTTGAAGCGCGGCTAATATTGAAGGCGCGTCAGCCGCAGCAGCCAGATGTTGGCAATGCCGCTCACGCGTGCGCTGCACACCTTGCAAACGAATCCCCTGGGGCAGGAGGGCTCGGTCTTGATCAGGACGTTGTCAAGCTGCCGGCGTGGGTGGGTTGTGGGTTTCGCTCTCAGTGTGTGTGTGTGTGTGTGTGTGTGTGTGCGACGCAAGGGGGAGGAGCTGCACAGGATGCTATGGGACGCGTGACTGCAGGCGCGTCGCCCCGACGGTGCACCCGGCGTGGGCACACCGCGCCTTCTGGTGACGCCCCAGCAACCCACACAAATGCAACGAGCATTGGAAGCAACAAACTGCCAGCCGTCCGCTGCCACGCGGCAGGCTATCAAGTTGTCAAGCAGAAGAGCCTCTGTAGAGCACGGGGACTGGGCAGTAAGCGGAGGCAGCGGCGGCCTCGGGCGCACCTTCACATCGCCGTGCAGGACGTGCATGGCGTGGAGGTGCTGCAGCGCGCGTGCCACGTCCAGCAGCGCCCACACCATCGCGCCCACGTCCGCGCGCTGGCTGCCGGCGCCACTGGGCTGTTTGTTGTGAAACTCCCCTGCGCGGACGGCGCTGCGCAGGCTGCCGCGGTCGCAGTACTGCGGTGTGAGAGAGGAATGGGTGACAATAAGGGTTGCGAAGTGTGTGGATGGTGGCGATCAGTGCTGGACTGTAGCTCCCTCTTGCCTGCCTGCCTGCCTGCCCGAACCTGTGACTGCCTGCCTGCCCGAACCTGTGACTGCCTGCCTGCCTGCCTGCCTGCCTCCCTGCATGCCTGCACAAACCTCTGTGCCCTTGGCATACACGGCCTGATCTGCATCCCGAGCAGATCCATGCAGCCCCTTGGGCCCCTCAGCCCATCCCGCACCATTCACACGCACTGCATGCGCGCGCGCGCGACACACACACACACACACACACACACACACACACACACACACACACACACACACACAACAGATAGACAAACACACGCACCTCCAGCACGAGGATGTTGCACGAGGGCTCCACGCCGCAGGCCGCCTCAATAGGCAGCAGGCGGCGGTACGTGACCTTGGAGAACGCGGCGGCGCCCATCACTGAGCTGCAGGAGGACGTGGAGGGGGCAGTGGCGGGGACGGGGCCCGCCTCGCAGCCGGCCTGCGGCGCGGCAGGGACCTCCACCATGTCTGTGAGGCAGCTGTAGAGCTGCACGACGTTTGGGTGGTGCACCACCGAGAGCACGGCCATCTCCATCGCGGCGGCGCCTGGGGGCCAGAGCAGAAGGTGGTGCGGCACAGGGGGCGAGGGCCGCGGTCGTTCAGGGGTGGATACGTTGAGGCTGCGGCAGAGGCCGGCCGGCAGCTTGGTGAGAGAGATGGGGGGCGGGGCAGGCAGGTCTGCGCAAGCGCGTGAAGGGCCTGTGGCGGCGTGGATCCCTGGGTGCTCACTGCGGGCGCTGTCGTCCATGTTGGCAGACATGATCTGGGGGCAGGGGGTCGAAACGAGATAGCGGGAGCTCAGTGCCACGGCAAGCGGCGCTGTGGCGCAGCGGCGTGGAAAGGTCGGCACTAGGCATGCAGGTGCCTGCCCCACTGCCCGTGCAGCCATGGAGTGCGTTCCTACAACCCAACCAGCCCCCACCTTGATCGCGGCGGGCGTGGCCTGCCACTTGCCGCGGAACACGCGCCCAAAACCCCCGCGGCCGATGCACTCTGCCAGAGAGAGCTCCTTGTGCGCCCCAGGCAGTGCGCCCGGCAGGGAGCGGTTGACGGCCACCTGCACCTCCTCCTGCAGCGCCTGCGTGCGTGCGTGCGTGTGCGTGTTTGTGTGTGTGCATGTGTGTGTGTGTGTGTGTGTGTGTGTGTGTGTGTGTGTGTGTGTGTGTGTATGTGCACACGCACGCGTGTGCGTGATTGCAGATGGAGGTCGGGTCAGGGATGGTTGAGGGCGGATGTGCAAAAGCGCGTGCATGCACGTATATGTGAGCATGCGTATTAAGTGACCACTCGCAAGCTATTCAACCTACAACATCTCTTCATGGATGCCGGAATCAAAGCTCGGCGCTCGCACCTGTAGCAGCGCCCCTGAATCCAGACGTGCCAAGCTGCCGTGCTTGAAAACGCAGGCCGAGGCCGCCTCGGCCTTTGTGGGGGTCGCAGCGTCCGTGGAGATGCTGCTGCCGTTGCTGCAGCTGCGGGCCAAGGCGCCGCCGCCGCAGGCGTCGACCCACCCTGCCGGCAGCGTTGGCAGCGGGCCAGAAGAAGGGCACGAGGACGACGGCGGCGTCTTACCCAGGCCAAGGCCGCACATAGCCCGGATTTCAGAGTCCTGAAATGGGTGACAACAGCAAACATGTGAAGATTGGTGCGTGGCGATTGGTATGTCAGGAACTGGTTGGGGCCCGCACCGCGCATGCGCAATGGACGCTCGCCGGCACAGGCGATCTGTGGCTCTGTGGCTGAACACGGGGGCGAGGATCAAGGTTCTTGCTGCAGCAGCGGCCGCCGGCGTCGGACCGCTTGCCTGCTGCGTTGCGCCGGCCTCGAGGGCGCCCATGTGCCCCTGCAGCGCTCGCTCCAGCTGGGGCGCGACGACGCGGGCAAACTCCTGGGTTGATTGATTGGTTCGTTCGTTCGTTCGTTGGCGGCGGGGATTTTTTAGATGTGGGCTGGCTGGTCAGCAGCTGGCTGCACCCATAGCTGTGCGGCTCAGATAGCCTGCCGTGGACATGACTGCTCGCCAGGCGTACGCGCGGCGCTTGCTTTGTACTGCATGGGTGCTTGCTGCGGCCTCCCTGCCATGCGCGCACGCGTGCGGCCCCCGCACCTGCAGCGGCCCCAGCGCGTCCGCGAACGAGCAGCGGCGCTCTGATGGGACGTACAGGGCGCCGAGCGGCGCGCGGCCAGCCACGAGCAGCGGCAGCACGGCGATGGACGCGACAGGCCGGGAGCACTGCCCAAAAACGTCGCGGGCCGCGGTTCCGGGGCGGCCCTGGTTGCGGCGCGACGCGTGCGGGCGTGAGCGGATGATGTCAGGGACGAGGGGGCTGGCATGTGTACGGGGAAGTGTGGCCTGCTGTGCGTTGAGGCCGATTATGCCCTGACGTGCGCTGCTGGCAAAGACACTGCTTGTTCAACCAAATGACAACAGCGTGCCGCGAAAGGTGACGCAGCAGGCGCAAGGACACTCGCACGTCCACACACAAATGCACACACATATGCATGCACACCAATACGCACCTGCATAAGCAGCAGTGTATCCTCGATGACCTGAGGCCGCCGCATGCCGACCGCCGCGGCCAGCAGCGTCTGCTCGAGCCCCATCAGCAGCGGCGCCGCGCCGGCCCCGTCGCCGGCCCGCGTGTCCGCCTCGGACTCCGACCACTGGGAGGCCTCCGACCCAAAGTGGGGGTACGGGGCAAGCTCAAACAGCACGGCATTCTCCGCCGTTATGCTGCTCATGCCGCAGACGGCGCCGGCGCCGGAGCCCTGTGTGCCGGCGCCTCGCAGGAGTGCGATCCGCGGGTTTGTGGTGATGAGGCCGTCCACTTGTCTCAGGAAGCCTCGGGCGCCCTGTGAAAAGCGGGGGTTGAAGGAGTGGGCCGGAAACGGGCGTTTGCTGATGATGCAGAGAGGGCTGTAGTCAAGGGGACATCCGCGATCGTGCACAGAGACGGTAGGCAGGTACAACCGGCCGTTCGTGTGCGCATGCCTCAAGGACAACAACCATAGCTGTGCGAATGCGCGTGTGCACACATTGAACACCTACGCACACACGCACGCGCGCACACACCCGCGCGCGCATGCAAGCACGCACATGCGCATCTGCACATGTGCATGCGCGCACCTTGAGGACGGCCTGGACGGCGGCGTAGGGGCTCTCGGCACTCTGCAGCTGACTCAGCACGTTGCACACCAGTCGCACCTCCGCTGCCCTTACGTGCTGCAGCATGCCGCACGCGGCCGTGCGCAAGAGCACCTCGGCCCTGTGTTGAGGGTGGCATCGGCGGCGGGCGCGTTTTTCAATGAGCTGGTTGTATGCCAGCAAAGGCGGCTGACTGCCTCTCAAGCTTGCACTTGAAGATGACTGTGTGTATGTGTTTCTAAAAGTCCGCTGCATCACATCACGTGGAGACTTGCCTGGTGCTGGCAAATCGCACGGCAACCGCAAACGCTTGCGTCGCAAAAACAACACGTTGGTGCTGCAATCGGACGGGGCAGCCGGGGCAGCGCACCATCCTGCAACTGGCTCGGACGCCGGGCCGCGGCGCGCGACCAGCAGCAGCCCTGCCGGCGCCGACGCGGGCCCGATGAGCGCGTGTTCAATGCCACGCAGGCCGGCCTGCTGCAGTTGGGGGACAACATCCGAGAGCGTGGAGGCAGCCTGAGGGGGAGCGGTGGGCAGGATGGGCATGCGTGGGGCAGAAGGTTGGTCTGTGCAGCACATGCTTGATATGGCTCATCCCAGGCCCTCTACCTTTCCATGCACACACAACCACCCATGACGCCACCGCGTCGCATTTGCACATTGCGCGTGCGTCAGGTGCTCTGCCCTGCTGTCAGAGCTGCAGCTGCAGCCGCCGCCATCCTGTGCGCACCTGGCCAGCCGCGCAGCCGCAGGCGCCCGTGCAGGCGCAGGCGCAGGCGCCGACGCCCTGGTGCGCGGCGGCCGACGGCGAAAGGGCGCCAGCGCAGTCGCCGTGCACAGCCAGCAGCGCCGCGCACGGTGCGTTGTCGGCCGCAAAGCCCCAGATGCTTCGTTTGAGATACGTGTATGCGCGTACAAGGGAGGGGTGTCGTGCGGCGAGAGCTGAGGGCGAGGCTGTGTGTGATTGGCACTGGGAAGTGGGCATGACTACCTTCCTGGGTGACTAAGGGCCCAGCTTCCCGGCGGCCGCCGCTCCCCGGCCCCGAACCCCCCGCCGCACACATGGCCGCGCGGCCGCGGGCTCATCATCTGCGCTATGACTCACGCGACAAGGTCGGCCGCCAGTTCGCGGGCCAGCAGCCCCGCGGCGGCGGGCAGCGCGGGCAGTGCGCCGCCTGGGCCTGCCAGGACCAGCAGCTGCTGCAGCTCTTGCGCCTGTGGGCGGCATGGCATAACGGCGATCAGCGTATTGGTAGGTTCAACAAAGAACCAGGCTGGTGCGATCAGAGGGGCGGGCGTGGTGCGCTGGTGCGCCCGCGTGCGGTGTGCGGGCCGCCCGCGGGGCGGTCTGGCGGGGGGCGCCGTCGAGCCCGGCCCCTGTGACGCGCGCGGCCAACGCAAGAACCGGAAGTCGCGCGCATGGCCTTCGCAGCAGGATAGTACAGATTAGATGCTTGCCTTGTGGAGCATGTCAACAGTGTAGGCGCCGGGGACCGGGCCTCCTTGATGCTCCGGCCTGCCAGGCTCTGGCCAGCCGCTGCGGGGCGCGCGGCTGCCACAGGGCGAGTCCCAGGCCGCGGCTTCGCTGGGACACGCATCTGGTGTTATTAATGTTGTGGAAACGCAGGCGCCCATCGTGCTGCTGGCTAGCTAAATACGAGGCCCGCTGTGTGATGCGCTCAGCTTCTGTGAACTATGCTCATGTGCTGCGTTCGTTTGGCGCCGGTGCACAACCGGCTTTCCTCACGCATGTAGCCGCTGAGCAAAATTGATGTGTACCAAAAACGACTTTGCGACCATCGAATCAAGATATTATGGCTCCGAGCCACCAACTGCTTCGCCTTGTTCGCAGGTGCGAACGAGTCAGCGATCGTTACTATTGACCAGGATCCCATGGTAGGATCGTGCGTTCAGCGAGCTCGGGTCGAGTAAAAAGCAACAACCGATGAGATTTCTAGCATTTCTATGCACTTCTATTAGCAGCCGCGCCCACAAACCCGTTTGTCACCCACTGTGAACACACCGGTCTGTGAAAACGCTCTGCCATGATAGAGCAGCAGGCTCGCCGCGCCGTGCACACCAAACAGCCTTGTGACCGCTCGCACTGCATATGACCTCGGTAAGGACTCATCTAAGGATCTCCCGCAAGGCTGAGAGACAGCACTCAACCCGCCCAAAAACGCTGAGAACCTGCCAACCGCCTCCTTCAAGTTCACACCAAGATGGTCCTCCCCCACCCGTCCCTGAAACGGCATGCGAGCGATAACGCCCCGCCACCACTGTGAGCCTGCCAAGACATTTGTGCGGGCAGGCGCTCGTGGCAGCGTCGCTATGACACACAGCCCGCCTTGCGTCAGGCCATCATGTGGCCAGCATGCCTTGCGTGGCCCCCCATGCACCTTCCCTGGAGCTGCGAGCGCAGGTGACAGCCTGTGGCGGCGCAGGCGCCTTGGCACCTCAACCCGTGCTCTGCGAGCACGACCGACATCCTGACCATGTGGCAACCTCTCCCACTCCCTTCCCCTCTTTCTCTCCAGCTTTCTCACCTCTACTGTACCTTGGACAGCGGAGTAAGCCCCCCCCCCCCCCACAGGGCCCTGCGATCCTTGTCACTCCTAGCCGCTGACAACCCCCTTCCCGTCGCAAGCACGCGTGAACCACGACGCATGTGACCATCCTGATTCGGCAGCACCCACGGAAGCCACATTGGGCCGCTTGTGCAAGCCTTGCAAGATATTACACAGATCTTTGCCAGCACAAGGCTGCTTGGCTAGAAGCAATGGAGCGCACATCCAGCACAGCCGCACCACGGCGTGCCCGCACCGCGCACACAGGCCCCTGCCTTGTACAGTTCGGAAGCAGGCCCAGGCCCCCTTAGACTGTCCGGCACGCAATTGTTGAATGACTTCAAGGGACGTTCCCTCGACTCAGGGTGCGAGATGAAAGCCCCGCCGCCCGCCGGTTCCCACCACCACCTGCACTGGTGCCGCGGGCCATTGCACTTGTCCCGCGACCAATCGCAGTTGTGCCGCGACCAACCGCAGTTGTGCCACGGCCGCCTGCACTTGTGCTGCGACCACCTGCACTTGTGCCACCAGCTGCACTTGTGCTGCCACCGCCTGCACTGGCGCCGCCACCGCCTGCAGTTGTGCCGCCACCGCCTGCACTGGCGCCGCCACCGCCTGCAGTTGTGCCGCCACCGCCTGCACTTGCGCCGCCGCCGCCTGCAGTTGTGCCGCTGCTGCCTGCAGTTGTGCCGCCGCCGCCTGCAATCGTGCCGCCAGCGCCTGCAATCGTGCCACCGCCGCCTGCAGTCGTGCCGCCAGCGCCTGCAATCGTGCCGCCACTGCCTGCAATCATGTCGCCCCTGCCTGCAATTGTGCCGCCACAGCCTGCCGTCGTGCCGCCACCGCCTGCACTTGTGCCGCCAACGCCGGCGCTTCTGCCGCCACCGCCTGTAGTTGTGCCCCCACCACCTGCAATTGTAACGCCACCACCCGCGCTTGCAGCGACGCCGCCGCCGCTTCTGCCGCCGCCGCCCCCACCGCCACTGAAGCCGCCCGCACCCCACCCCCTCACCCTTGCCGTCTCTTCCA